AATGAATTACTCAAATTGTTATAAAATAATTCTTGACTTTGGTCAACCTAGAATCTCTTCAAACCATTAAGGTTAAAAAAGGAATCATTTGGTTATTCTCTCTTCCTTTTTTTAGGAAGGGTTAAACATGAGTGAAAGCTATAAAAGGTGCAAAGCAAAAGTGACAAGTCAGCTGGAGAAGTGGAAAACCAAATGTTGTCACCTCTAAAGCTTAAGCCGCAAAACATCTTTATTCCAAATGGTTGGAATTCTCATTCTAAAGAAGGGAATCAGGAAATCCTATAATGATGGCACTTAAATCAGAGTTTACATTCAACAACCCAACTTTGGGGGAAAGGGCAGATTAAAAATGAAAGTGAGAAACATGATAGTAACTGATTGATAAATAAAAAGCAAATTCTGATACCCCCCCCTTTTTTTTTAATTATACTCTGCCACAGCCTGGGTTTGTTGCTAGAAAAGAAAATGTCAGAAAAATTAACAGTACTGAGTTAGGGTCCTGAGCTGGGAGTGATCTCAGAGATCATCTGTTCTACCAATTGAGACCCAGAGCAAGTGAACGACAGAGTTGAGTCTAGAATTCAGATTTCCCCATTTCTAGTTAAATGTGCTCTTTATCTTATCCTCTAAAATGAAGGATACAAAGAAACATATAACTTTCTCAACATTGGTCCTCAGAATATTTCCTATACAGAACAGGAACCAATCAAATATTATATACTGTAGATTCTCATTATTCATGGTAATTGTGTTCTGCAAAGTTTCTGTGAACACTGAATTAGCAAATATCAAAAAATTCTCCTTTCTAGCAGAAATACAGCGTTAGGTTCCTCTGAGTCTCTGGTTACAACATTTTTATCTACTGATCACTACCTAACCTTGTTTTACTTGTGTTTCTGTTTAAATATACCTCATTTTATATATATATAGAGAGAGAAACATTAACATTGAATTCACAGCCAACAGTACTATAACTCATGCCTGAACAAGCTCACCTAACAAACATATATCCTCTATAACGCAATCACAGCTTTCTTGTGCTTAGGAACACTGGACAGCACTTCAGTATTATACTTGGGGGACATTTAAAATAGCTACATCACCAACAAAAAGCACAAAAGTGTGAAAAACATGATAGTAAATAGGCTATGAAGAGGTTACTTGTTTAGAGCATAAAAGCTGAAACAAGAAGGCAAAGCATAGTCTTGTTTGACCTCAGCTGGGAACATGCACATGGGGCGACTCAAATGTTTTGCTGCTCTGCACCTTTGAAATGATCACAAAAGCACTGCAAGTATTGATTTGGGGATTACAAATACATTTTAGGGAGTAGGGTAATTTACAAATACAGAATCCATGAATAATGAGAGTCAACTCTACTATTATCAATGATTTAGTTTTACTTTTCTCCTACTCAAAGAATCTTGAATATCCAGGATGCTGCCAGATTAGATTAATAATAAAATTGCCTCCTATAATCTTCCCTTTTAGAAAATGTTCATACTTTTTGTATATTTTCTACCAGAGAAATCCCTAATGCACACATCAGGAGATATTTGTTTTTTCCTTTGTCACATAGACTGGTGGCCACTTATGTTGTAATATCCATGTTTAGTAATAAGAGATATGAAAAGCAATTATATAATCTAGATATCAAAGGATACTTGAAATGTCTTCTGATATTAAGTAAATAAAAGATACAAAAAGTAAATATAATATAATCCCAAAATTGGTTTAAAAATAAGGGAAAAATAGAAAGGTATACACTAGAAAGTATTAAATTTGATAGTCTGTGTTTGCTGCAGAGCATTTTAATTTTCCTCATTGTGCTTTTCTATATTTTTTAAACATACTACCATAAAAGTGTGTTATTTGGTAAATAAAAAAGCTAATATAAACACATTTTGAAAAGGTAAGAAAGATTTTTGCTCTACCTTAAGCCATATTCAGACAGGTCAGAATCTGTCCTTCTTTCAAAAAAGTTTCTCCAGAAAATACTTTGATTCAAAATTAAGAAAGTCTTCCTCATTCTCATCTTTATTTCTCATTCCCTTCATCTTCTTCTCTCATTTTGTCTTTTTCTTCTGCTTTTTTTATCTTCTCTATCTCTGAAAGCAGCCACTAGATGAATAGCATCATAGATGAATTTACTACCACTGGATTTTTCCTAAAGCTTCCCTCCATATTCCATGTCAGCATTAATTCTTTGAATGGCTTCTAAAGCTGAGACAGTAGTCAGTAGAGAAGACTGGAGATGAAAGCAGAGAGAGAGAGGGAGAGGTGCTAATTGATAAAGCCTTGTTCTGGGGGAGACCAACCAGAGGGAGCCAACCTAGAAAGCCCAGGAGTGCAGGTAGAAAGGTCAACCTTGAAATAGGAAACGAGGTTTGGTACCCTTGAAACTATAAGCAGGAGTGAAGAAGATCTTGACAGCATTCAGAAGCAGTACTTTTGATTTTCTCTTTCATAGGAGGCAAGGTCATCTGTTAGTAGTTAAACAGGGAGGAGTTTGGGGAGGGTGCTGGGGGAGAGGGGTGAAGGTATGAAATAATGGGTCATGAGAGCAATAAGCAAGACATCTATTAAACATCAAGCGAAGAGAGTGCTGACCAGTGCCAAAGACCCAGCTGCAACTGGAAACCAATCATTTTGGCCATCTCTCTGCACAGTTAAGCAGTGTTCTTCAGCCAGGTGAGCAAGTATGTGAGCAGATGGTCAATTTCCTTCCTAAGCCTCCATTTACTCTCATGTATTAGCACCTGAACTTTGCTTCCTTCCTTCTCTAACCAACCTGAAGTCCACGTTCAATCACTTGCAATACTTAGTAGCCAACATCCTCAACACCTCTTCTCTCCTTTGTCTTTCTGTGGTTTCTGCTTTGCAACTCTCAGACCCTGGGTCAGTCAGAATGGAAGGTGAGAGTACATTAGTTTGAACTTTATGACATTTCCATTTTTATAGGGCACACATGGTTAAATATTGGGGAACTTGATGAGGGATGGCAGGATGGAATTACCTGGTTTCAGAATGCCAAAAGATTTTTTTATCCTTGTTTGAGCACTTAGAATGGACTGAGAATCCCAGGAGGATTCGGGGCCCAGTAACAGCTGCTGCTCCGGTCAGTCTATCCGGAGGCATCAGCCTGAAGGAAGGAAAGTTCTCAAGCCTGATTAGGGCTCTAGCAGAAAGGCTACTCTAACATTTCATATTTTGTATTATTTTTTCCTGGACAGGCCCAATGTCAAGTTGTCAAGGATACAAACAAAATTCAAAACAAGAATGATGGGAGAAGGGGGTTTGAGAGGAATAGGTTTAAAAAAAAAAGAAGAAAGAAAACCCACACAATGATGTCTTAATTAGAAATGGCAAACATAGGAATTGTTTTCACTAGAATCAAAGGCAAAATATCAAAACAGATGTTTTCGCATTTTAGGCCCAGACCTTCATTCTTCAATACCTCTGTAAGTTTCCCAGTCATCCCCTCCTTTAAAAGGATCATTTCATCCTCTCATCGGGGCCTGAAGCTGCACTACACAAATACGTAAAAATGTCCTGAGTTAACTGAAACTACCTTAATTGTGAAAGTTCTAGAAATTAGGAGAAACTTGGGAGTGAAACTCTATCAACTGCCTAGAAGGGAGAATAATATGCAGATTGGTCGCAACTGAAGAAATGCCTCAAAACTCTTCAGGTATTAACCAAAATTAAGCCTGTGGTGGCAACTGACATGTACTATAATTTTCAAGTAAGACTAGATGATCATTTAATACATAACAATAATATTAACAGCAAACGTTTTAATAATACCATCATTAACAACTTTTGCTATCTTTGTAACTTTTGTACCCTTTGGAAACTTTTTTTGAAATAATTATCTCAAAGCCCCTGTGAGATTGGTTTATTCTATCCACAAAACCGAGGTCAGGTAGGTGGTCTTGCTTAAGGTTAACCAGCTAGTAATACCTGGATTAGAACCTCAGTCAGTTGACCCTGAAGCCAGAGCCCATTCCCCTCCCATTACACAAAGAGACCCATTGGGCATGGCTTTGCAGCAATAAAGGCCCCTAAAGTATATGACGGGTCTTCTAAAAACTACGATTTCACTTTTAAGAGAAAAGGAAGAGTGTCCCAGTGGATTTTTTTAACCAGAGACATTTCTCCCTTCTCGATATCATCATAGCCAAAATCAAACTAAAGTGTCTGCAGAAAATTACCACTAGAAAATTCACAGGGACCCTACAATCGTTCTAAAGAAGAAAACTTCAATGAGAACTAGGAGAAGAGAAACCCTAGAGTGAGCAGTCAGAGAATTAATGAAAGACACAGCCTGTCTAATTTTCATGCAAGCAAACACCATCACAAATGCTTTCAAAGGTCAAGTTGCAGAGAGTGAGGTAATGGTGTTTGGGGAGTGAAATAAACATTACTTTGGTTTTGCTCTGGGAATGTTGTTTTTTTTTCTCTCCCTTTTTCATTTCCTTTTCTCTGTCTCAGTTTTGAGTTCCTTACCATCTTAAATGAAAATTGTTCTCACCACCCCCATTTTTCCTGGTGTGCGTGAAAAATATTTTATAGCCTTCCCTTGAGCCTGCAGATTTTCTCAAGACCCTTCTGCTCAGCAGACACTATTTTCTTACAAGGCTGGAGATTTTAAGAGTGTGGAAAATGACGTTGGATTTGACTTGGCAGAACCCAGCGGGCAGAGAAGGTAAGGGAGGGGGAGAGAAGGGAAGGAAGGGTCTCCTGTTCAAAATAATCTTGATTTCCAACCAATAACACTGCACAAGTTAAGCGTTTTCATAGATAGTCTTAACAGTGTTACATGTTTTTTTTTTTCTCTCTTTCAAAATGTGCTTTCAACAGTCATGCTGTTTTCAAATGAACTGAAAGGAGCACTGTGTTCAGGACGGACAAGGATGGGCTATAACATATGACTGGAGAGATACAAAAGCCGCTTTATTTAAATGTATGTTTGCCCTGGCAGGAATTTGGAAACCTACCTGTACATAATCCACACTTCGTCCCAGTGCTCTGAAGGCCGTGTACATGACTTCTCTTTTTCCACCCCATTTTTGCATGATGCAAATACTTTTGTTGGACAAGACCAACTGGGTGACATGCTGAGAGCTTTCTTTATGTGACTCATCCGTCTCACCAGGACCCTTCTCGTGGAAGTTGTTCTTCCAGATATAAGTGGCTGATTTGTCCCCACCCATGACTTCACTGAAGATGTCCATCATGTAAAGGTCATCTTCCGAGTTCCCATCTATGACCATGACAACTTTAATCCCAGGGTAGGTTAGCCGTTTCACAGATTGCAAACATTTCCGTAAGTAGTCTGGATCTTCTTGATATGCAGCGATGCAAAGAGCAACAGTTTTGTTCAACTTAATGGGGGTTTCTAGGGATTTTTTCATTTTTCGATGCTCCAAAAAGGCAAACAGGCTTTGGATGATGAGGTGTGATGCTAAAAAGGCACCATATAGTCCAAAAGAGAAATAGTAATTATCTGTTTGGATAAATTGGTAGCCAACAATATAAGCAGCGGTGATTCCAAGGAGGAGAGAGACTCCAAAAAGTGTGGTTCCAATTATTCTCAGGATACATATAAACCTCTCACAATGCATCTGTAATATAATCAAACGATATTGGTTAACCACTCTTGTCCCATACTTGTATATACATGGCATTGTGGGGAGAGTATTGGACTAGAAGTATCCAGGAGTTCTAACCCTGAGTTTCTCACTTAACTAACTGTGACCTTCTGCACCTCAGTTTGCTCATCTGCAAAGTAGGGTTAAGGATATCCTTCTGGCACACCTCAGAGGGCTGCTTCAAGAATAAAGTGAGATGATGGTGCAAGGTATTATTGAAAACCATAATATCTTAAATAAATACATGGATGTTCTATGTTTAGTGTGTTAGATCATTTGTCTACAGATGCACTCTACGTATGTGGTTATTGCTAGGCACAGAACCTAAACTTCCTAGTGAGCAAGGCAATTTTTCTTTCTATGCCGTGTTGCCCCCTCCCCTTCAATACTGACTAGTGAAAAGTCCACAAGAGATTTTGGTAAATTTCTCCTGTGTAATTTCCTCTCATCTCCAATGAAAATCCCTGAGCTCACACCCTTTCCATGCAGCCAGCTGAGGTTAGAGATCAGGATACCCGGATTCTAGTACTAGCTCGTCAATCAACTAGCTGCGTGACCTTGAGCGAGTCACTTTACCTCTCTGGGCCTCAGTTTTCTTAATCTGTTAAATGAGGGAGTTCGCACCCAATTATTTCCAAAGTCTCTTGTTGACATTAAACATTCTTTATGCCTAGGTATCCTGCACAGACATCTATCAAAGCTCCTGTAATTCTGAATTGCATTCCTTTGTTCAGATGGCTGTCTCCTCCATCCACCATCACTAACACCAGATGGTTAGATCTTGGGGATCAGGAACCTTCCTGGAACACAATAAGCCCACAATAAATGTTTGTAGAAATAAACCATAAATTAAAGAAGAAATACCATCATGCTTAATTTCAATAGGTAAGTTTTCCAACCTCTTAATAGCTGTAACACATTAGACCTGAAACACATTTCAGCTCTTAATAATAGTCAATTTTGTACTCCTCCCTATGATTTGTGTATCTCTTGAATAAGGTTTTGAACAAATACAGTAAAGGAGGACCATTTTTCCATATTTCCCAAATCATCTCCAATGTTGAGCATAGAAGAGATACCTGGTAGACATTTTATTTTGTTTTTCTTTTTGGGTTCCTAGACCCAATTCCCATGTGTGTGGGGGTGGGGGGTGGGGGCGGGGTGTTTTCCCACACATCCAACAAACAATTTTCCAGAACACCAGCTGGGTGTCTTACAATTTGACTCAATTCTGACACTATCTGCCAGGAGCGAGTGTCAGATTCCACAGGCTAAGGGTTCAGTCCTACAAGACAGACCCCTTCAACTTTAGACACCAATCATAAGCCCAGGTTGTTAGCTGTGCTTGTGACCAATGGCTATACATCAGAGGTTCCCAAGACTCCCTCCTTGGGTTCAGTTAATTTGCTAGAGTGGCTCACAGAACTCAGGAAACCTGTTTACTCATTAGATTCCTGGTTTATTATACAAGGATATAACTCAAGAACAACTAGACGGAAGAGAGGCATAGGGCAAGGTATGGGGAAAGGGCACAGAGCTTCCAGGCTCTCTCCGAGTGCACCACTTTCCCAGCACCTCCACCTGTTCACCAAACCAGAAGCTCTTCAAATTCTCTCCTTTTGGGTTTTTATGGAAGTTTCATTACACAGGCATGATTGGATAAATCATTGGCCATTGGCAATTGACTTCAATCTACAGCCGGTCTCCCCTCCCTGGAGGTGAAATTGGAAGTTCCAACTCTCTAATTACATGGTAGGCTCCACTGGCAACCAGCCTCCATTCTCAGAAGCTTTCCAAAAGTCACCCCATTAATAACCAAAAGACATCTCTATCGCTCTCATCACTTAGGAAACTCCAAGGGTTTCAGGAGCTCTGAGCCAGAAACAGGGACGGGGATGAAGACCAAATATATATTTCTTATTATAAATCACAATATCACAGTTTTTTCCCCCTGAAGAATACTTTCCTCCTCTTCCAAGACTGAACTATAATAAGGGGCATAGTTGGTATAAATGCAGTATCCTGATCTTCAGTCATTCACAACAACTTCAGGGTTTTGTCATATTTACATATAATTAGTACCTAATCTTTTTCTTTAACTCGACTAGGTTTTTTGTTTGTTTGTTTGTTTGTTTGTTTTGCTGAGGAAGATTCACCCTGGACTAATATCCATTGCCAAACTTCCTCTATTTTGTATGTGGGTCACTGCCACAGCATGGCCACTTGATGAGTGGGGTAGGTCCACACCCGGGTACTGAACCCGGGCTGCCGAAGCGGAGTGCACCAGACTTAACCACTCGGCCACCAGGGCTGGCCCCCGACTCGACTAGTGTTTGAAAGCTAAGTAACTGTACTTTAAATGGAAACTTAGGCTAAGCCATTATCTGTGCAAAATCTCTTGCTGGATATATTATTTATATTTTTCCTAGTCCACATTAAGACTTAAAATTAAATATTCACATAACACCTAGGATTATCTTGGCTGTTACTAGTTGTGTGGCCATCACATCACACAGCTCCAAGAGGCACCATGTACATTCTAGTCCCTATAGTCATACATTGAGGTGGTCCTGGGAAACTTTAACGTGGCTGCTCACCAATTGTGTTTCCTCTCCTTCTGAGCACAGACTGCTTGATGTGGCCATGGTATCCCAGCCTTTGGAAATCTGAGGGGGGCCAGTGCCAATAGGGACTTTTAAAATAGAGAGTGGGCCTCCTGCAATCTCTTTTCCTTCCACAGGCTTGATGCTCATATCAACAAGGTCCTAGAGGATTGCAGTGCCCAAAGATAGAGGGTGCTTTGTCCTTCAACTGCCACATGGAAGGCAGCCAGCCACTAACCGGGAATACTTGCCTTGGACTCTTCTGTTAGCAAGAAATAATTTCTGAGTTTTTGCTTGTTTGTTTGCCCATTATGCATTTCGAGTTTAACTCACTCTAACTAATCCCACCTAGGTAATACAAAGCAGCCTGGGGACCAGGATTCTAGCTTGTGGACATTATTTTCTTTTATTTAATGGAGATGATAGTAGCTGTCAATGACCCCTCACAGGACCACAGCGAGGAGCAAAATCAAAGCATTTGTGAAAGTGTTTTAAAAAACCAGAAACACAATGCAGTTTAAAGTATCAGCTAACAAGGAAGCTAAAAAAAACAAAAAACAAATGCGTGTTCCACTTCTAGCACTTTATAGGACACCACAGTATGTAACATGTGAGCCTGATAAAGGTAATCACAACACAAATGAAAAGTTCGAGCTGCTGGGAAAATAGTGCTGGGGACGAGTGAAATGTTGAGTTTTCAGTGAAAGGCAAGAGAGCATCGCATCCCTTGTTAATTAAAACGGCTGACGGGGCTGGCCCCGTGGCTAAGCGGTTAAGAGCTTGCGCTCAGCTGCTGGCAGCCCAGGGTTCGGATCCCGGGCGCGCACTGACGCACCGCTTCTCCGGCCATGCTGAGGCCGCGTCCCACATACAGCAACTAGAAGGATATGCAACTGCGACATACAACTATCTACTGGGGCTATGGGGAAAAAAAGGAGGAGGATTGGCAATAGATGTTAGCTCTGAGCCGGTCTTCCTCAGCAAAAAGAGGAGGATTAGCATGGATATTAGCTCAGGGCTGATCTTCCTCACAAAAAAAAAAAAAAAGCTGACGGGATGCTGAAAACTCCCAAAGGGTGCATTAACCAATGCCTAAAGGTGCTGGAGCACCAGACTTGGAACTTGTCACTTCCAAGACATGAGTCATTCTCACAAGGGTGAAAAATTTCAAGGGGGCTGAAACACTCTGCCAGGGAGAAGCTTAAGTGTATGTTTCGCCTGTGTTTAAAATCACCATAGCCAGCAAAAGAACTGCCTGTCATTCTTTTCCATTATTCACATTTTCCTTGCTTTTATCAGCACACGTGGACACAGAGAGTGTCCGCATAGCATCTGCTGGCCACAGCTGAAGTGGGAACACCCTCTTACATCATAGGAGTCTACAGAATGTCCTTTTGAAGCCTGGGAAGAGTTGCTAGTAAACTGCAGCAACGTAGGTAGAATTTTCTGTTTCTGCAGGGTACCACATTCTTGCCCAGTACGACACACGCAGCATCTCAATACAGGCCAAAGGGCAAAAGGCACATTTCAGAGCCAGCTTTACCGAGGGAACACATTGATCTCAGGGACTGACACACAGGATGTGTTTCTTTATAACTCCCCCTGGGCGATTTCATAGATATGGGCACCATATGCGTAAGCCTTTCTGAGACAATCCCCAATTCAAAGACTCTGTTTCTTAAGCAAACCCTCCTTGTCAGACATATGGTTTTGTTGTTAAATTGGAAAATATAGTTAGTTCCATCCTAGATCATAAAAGCTTACTGCTAGACAGAAAGATGATTTAGAAATCTACCTTCCATAAATATCTAAAATATAAAACTTGGATTTTTTTGCCCAGTATCAGACTTTAGCGGATTAATTAATTTTTAAGTTGCTACTGGACCTGATACCAATTATTCCCTGAGTACTAATCTTCAAAGAATTCTAGGCCAAACCAAGTGTTAAAGAATAGCTTGATGCACCATAACGTAAGCTCCACAAAGTCAACAGATTTTTTTTTTTTAATCTATTTTCACTAATGTGCCCCAAGGACTTAAAACATTGCCTGGCTTATGGTTGGTATTCAGTAAATATTTGTGGAATGAATAGATGTAACTTTATTCATCAACGTCATCATTGGCATCACTGTTATATCAATTAACATTTATTCATTTACTAGGTTTCAGGTAATGGGGCAAGTTTTGTTTGTTTTGTTGAATAGCACGATCCTATTTAATCTTAATAACTTCATGTGGTAAATACGTTGTTAATCTCATGTTACGAGTAACCCATATGTGGAGGAAATCAAGACACTGAGTATTTAATTAACTTGCCCAAAGTCACAAAACCAGGAGTAGGATCCACATGGTGGTATAATGCCAGGCAATT